CAGAAGTTAGAAGTCGCTGTTGTCGCTACAGTCGACTGAGTGAGGACGGTCGCCTCGTTGCTTGGTGATTCAGGCATTCTCTGACTGGGTGTTAGACGTATCTTACCCTCCGGATATTCATCGCAACAACGCAAGGCATTGAAGTTACTGCATGGTCCCGTTGAAGTCATATCGTTCGCAGCATTGCCTCTGGCAGTACTTGAACCGTCCGAAGTACCAGATGGCTCAAACTTCATGCAGGCACCTATGTTCAGACCGGTTGATTGGGGCTTCAGTGAGGCTTCCATGGCGGACACAGTATTGTAAAATTTGTAATTATGTGGTGCCCCATTGGCGGACTGAAGGTAGCTCGGAAAGCCCCGGTCCTCTTCGGCTAACTGTTTCGAATTCCCCGACTGACCGCCTTCACCTCCTGCGTTCTCAACGGTTCTGACCAATTTGTAGAGTGGATTAGAAACGGATCGGTAGATCTGATTGGCCAGAAAATTGTAGCCAGATAAGAGATTTCCGGACGATTCACCTTGAGCACGTTCAAACGGATTATCCATAGGTAGTTGTGGGAAGTTCTCGCGGCCTCCCAACTGTCCGAACGGTACCTCGAGGCCCGGATGAAACATTTTTTGCTGATGTTTTTCATCCGGATTTCGTTCAACCGTTCCGATCATCTTGAAGTCAGCAACTGCACCAGTTGTCAGATTGGTATTCACGGGCAGAGGGCATTCGGAAGCCATCTGCATATGACACTGGTGATATTTGACAAGGATTGGTCTTCACACCTGTGGAGTTAAAAAATATTCCAATTAGACCATTTGCTCCGAGGTTAACATAATTTTAAAATGCGGCAACAAGGGACCAAAATACAATAAAATTGGCAACCATTCAGTCCAGTGCACCGTAAAATGCAAAAAGACCCTTATTTGTAGTACAAGGTTGCATAATTCGAACATAAAACCACAACGCTCCGTTTTTATCAGCTCATTGACGCCTGAATGCACAAGACGACATAACTCATTAAGAGTAGGACAACTTAGACCCACGAAAGAATTCAAGAGCGGCTTGCTAAAGTATTTTTGTGCTGTGAAGGAAGCTTGACCCAAGAATGTTCCCGGATTTAAAGAAAACAACAATTTCTTATACGTAATGGCAATTTCAGGCCATTTTGTAGGAGCCACACTCGGAAAATCGCCGTACCATTATTCCTTTTTGAGAAACTCCTATAATAACTTTGTTTCCCTACCCTCCGTGCAGAAACTGTGTAGATTAATGACGGTTTGCAATACTAATATGGTAGTCGTATATTGCACAATGACTACCACTGTTTCGTTCCAGATTTTGATAAGCAGCTGTAAGATTATCTTCTACCTCACAGTAAAATAAGTCATAAAATTAAATTCAAATATGGAACGTGTGGAACACGGGATTTTTTATTTCCTACTGTTTTTCCAGCTACCTTCAGTCTGCACAAAGGTGAGTAGTAGCATGCCAGTTTATTTGCTTTATCTAACCTTTCTGTATTTTTAAATTACTAGATGAATTATCGTTTGAGCAGAGCCCGTTCAGCTGCCTACTCAAAATCATCTCGCTATAAAGAAAGAGAGAGTTTAGGTGACCTGGATTAGATGACTCAGGAGGCAGTTCGAGCTAAACAAAGTATATTTGGTGTTAGTCAAGGGTATCTGATAAACTTTAATCTCACACCAAAAACACAGACAAAGTCGGTACCTTGAACCGCCGAAAGTCGTGAGTGCCTCTGTTCAAGTGAAAAGTAGGTTGAGATTGTGGATTTGTGCCTGCTCATAATTCCAGTCCGTATACGGCGTTGAAGGCAAAACAAGCCAATCTTCGAGAATGCGTACAGTACAACGACAAAGTAAAGTTTTGAACATGCGCTAGAGGTTACTGATCAGGGAGGGTCGCTGAGTTCAACACTTATTAGTTGCTACAGCACGACAAAATGTTAGCCATCTTCTTTGAAACGAGATGGATGGGGGATCGGGTGTTAGTGGCACATTGTTAGGTGGCTTGCGGTTCGTTAGCTGATAGCCAAGCGTCGATAACTTGGGCAATAGTGCGGTTCTCATAGATTCAAGTACCGTACACAAAAAAAATATTTTATTATTTTCCAATTCGATTTCGTAGAAAATGTGTTTTCGAACTGATCTGAATTATGAAGGCTAACATTATCTCGAAGTCCTTTCGGAAAATTTTTCCTCCTTGGTACGAGAACAAAAAGCACCTTCCCCCCAGAAACCCTACAATCCCTAGATTTGAATATTCTTGGTCGAATGATAACAGTTCAATCGTTTGCTAGAATTTCTGATGTGGTATGCCAAGAATGTGATGCCGGTTGCCTGTTCGAAATTTCGTGTAGCCATTCCGTCTCATTTGGTCACATATAAAGATGCCGTAGGGACAATGACTATACCATCACCTCCCGTTAAAAGCCGGTTACGAGCTGCTGGATTTTCATTTGTGTAATAATTGCTACGCATTGTACACACTCACACATAATAGAGCCTATAATGTGTAATTAGATAAGTAAGCCCGGTTGGACAGCTATTTTGAACACTTACCAACTATGTATTGCACAATTAATATTTTATTTTACGGACTGTCTGGGTGCTTGACACTATTCCCTGGTTTAAAAACAAACAATTTTCATCATGTACCAATATGCTTATAATCCAGGTTTTTCGCATAAAATGAGGTAATTCACGTCTGTTGAGAGAGAATAAGCAAAAAGAAATGTTGACCCAGCCCATAGGTACGCAGACTCCCACGTTTCCTCCTTGTCAGCTTGACCACTGATCCTCTATTCTCTTGATATTTTCACAGGCATTCAGTAAAAAAATTCAAATTGCGATGCGTGGTGCACAATTGGTCGCTGATAAGTATGCCTCGTGAAAGAAATAGTAGTTAGTATGACATCTCATACGACTGTTACGAAGCTAAACTAGTGCCGAGGTCCTATAAGACCATCTTTCTACTTTACTGTGGTCACTGCCACAGAACAGGATCCCAAACACCTTTGTTTAGAAGTTGGTCAATCTATTACTTTGGAGGAATGGTTATAGGTCTTCATAAGTCGTGTATACTGGAGGCTGTTTTGGTCAGCTTTTATAAGGCATATATAACTGTCTGCCACATGCGTGGGCAAGGCGTCTTAAATAGCAAACAAATCATTTCGAATGCACGAAGCATGAGTGAGCCGCTGAGAGACCTAATTGTGCTACACAAAGTGCCTTCAGTGTCAACCACAGAAATATAAGGTGGTACTTGGCGATGCACATTGTGCTTAACGGGGTTCACAAATTAATTGGATGTTTTAGACGCACTAACCTAAGCACTGTTTACGGAAGGGTGACGACGAATGCTGTGTAGGAGGTCGCGGCTCCACACAATTTGTCAAATAATGTTCCCATTATGATTCAAAAGCTAAAGGGGACTATGAAATGAATGGTGAAAAAGAAAGTCCAACAGAGTGATCCGAATACTGAGCTGGGCATGATGACACGAAAAAAAAGTTGTCACCCCAGACAGCGGAATTACCACAGTGACGCTCTGCCTCACTGAGTACACTTGGTCAAATCATTCAAAACAGAAACCGATATCCAATCTCACTCAATCTAAACAAGTTTGAGATCATCCGGGTAATAATAATTGAAAATTCAAGCTGCTTGCCTCGTCTGTAATGACTATGTGCTATCAGTGAGGTTTTCATTTACTAAGATTAACTGGCTAAAAGGGTGTACGACTGGATAACCCACATGTGTAGATCCCGTTGATTTGTGACCTACTACCGAATGAAGAAACCCGCAAAATTGGATGTAATATATCTTTATTTATTACCTCCATTTCAAGCACTATAGTAGGTGAATGTGGCTAAGTTCATTGAATAAGCTTGCTTAAGGTGCTTTACTAAAAATTCAGGCATATTAGGAACATATCAACTGTCTGATATTAGCGAAGGATAGAACATCATTCCTGCCCACTTATATGGAGAAAAAACATATGTTGGCAATAAATGTGCACTATCCAGTTCGAACTGGAACGAAGACGTATAGAACTGAGTGTTCGATCCCTTGTAGACAACCTAATAGCCCACCAAAGGCGAAAGAGGGTAGCACTGATTGTCCGCAAATTGTCGCGATGAAAGGCTGTGCGCACAGGCACAGATCACAAGTGTTGCAGGAGTTGCCAGACTGACAGCGCAGGTGCCGGTATTCCGTCGTGGAATGACACACTTTCGAGGGATCCGGTTCACTACGGATTCCTCCAGCACTGGCCATGTGCATTCAGGTGCATTACGCGGCCTAGTAGCCGGAAGCGGCCTCTTTCTTTTGCAGGCATGCACAAAACTCGACCATCTCCTCAACAAATGCCTCCTCCTGCCTTCCAAACGGGGAGATGTCATTGGAAGCAAACCGTCGCTTGCATCACCAGCAACTGCTAGACTGCGCCTTGTCATAAGGCATGATCTGCGTGATGTGCTGATGAAAAAGGTGATGTATTGTGCGGAAAGGTGAGCAGACCACCGGTTCGTCACGTCGACGTTGAGGCTGCACTTCCGAACCCAACCTCAAGGTGAGACTCTACCGAGTAAGTTGAATGCCTCAACGCTGGATGTGGCCGAAGCCTGATCTGGTTTCAACAGACGCATGCGCCTAAATATGGAAATAGAACAAGATCTGGAGGGCGTTGCTGGACCTAGCGGAAGGACTTGCGGTACATTAATCGTACCGTTCTTTGGATGCATAGACCAGCGGCCTCAAGACTGCCTCAACGAAGACGACGAAAAGCATTATCATAAACGTGGAGCACACTACCATGACAACAAAGAGACCGAAACGAACACAGCCACTAACGCACAAGGCAGGAAAAACTCCTGCCCTCTGCGTAGGGCTGCGAAATCATGGACTTTTTCGTGGCCACCAACGTGGTCTTC